TGTCTATAAGGCCAAGTTGGTGGATTGTATTGTTTAGCTCTTCTGCATCTTTGTTGAGTTTCTTTCCAGTTGTTCTATCTTCCAAAGAAAGTGGTGTATTACAGTCTCCCAGTATGACTGTGGAGTCATGTATTTTGCTTTTCAACTCTTTTAAAGTCTGATTTATGTATTTTGGGGCTCTTTCATTGGGCCAATAGATATTTCTTATGATTATATCTTCATGATCAATTGATCCTTTAATCATTATATAATGTCCTTACTTGTCTCTTATGGTGGTTTTTGTTTCAAAGTCAATTTGATCAGAAATTAATATTGCCACTCCTCTTTTACGGTTGCCATTTGCTTGGTATATCTTTTTCCAGCCTTTGATTTTTAGTCTATTTTTGTCTTTGTCTCTAAGGTGTGTCTCTTGTAGGCAGCGTATTGATCAGTTTTGTTTTCTTATCCATTCTGTAACTCTCTGTCTTTTGAACGGTGCATTTAATCCATTAACATTCAGCATAATTTTCAGCAAGTCTGAATTGTTTGCTGTCATTTTGTTATGTGGTTTTTCATGGTGTCCGTGGTTTCTTTGTGTCATATGATTTTCTGTGCTGAGCTCATTATGTTTATGAATCATGTTATCATTTCCTTTGTTGCTGTTCCTTTAGTTTTTGCTGAGTATTTGTGCTTGTCCTTTTTTATTGTTATGTTAAGATTTATCATTTTTCTTTGAGGTTACCTGGTGATTTATAATTTTCTCCCCAAGTTTAGAATAGTCCATTCATTCTATCTTGCAACTCTCTTGACTTCTTCACCATTTAGAAGTTCTGTAACTACACAATATTTTCCCTTTTTTTTGGTTTGTAGTTGTCCTCATTTGCCAATTTATATCGCTGGTCCCTATTTACATTCTTGTAAGCTTATTTTACTTTGGATATTTCCATAGCTGTATTTTTTGGGGTTATGTCATCTTGTGCATTAATGGTTGGTTGTTGTTTGCTATTTTTGGTTCTGTGTTCAAAGGACTCCCCTTAGTATCTCTTGTAAAGTTGTTCTTGTTTTAAAAAATTCCCTTAATGTCTGCTTATCTGGAAATCTCCTAATTTCATCATTACATTTGAGGGATAGTTTTGCTGGGTGTACAATTTTTGGTGCAAAATTTTTCTCTTTCAGGGTTTTATATATACCATCCCATTGCCTTCTCACTTGCATGGTTTCTGCTGAGAAATCACAGCTTATTCTTATTGGTTGTCCTTTGTAAATAGCCTTTTGTTTTTCCTGTGCTGCTTTCAGAATTCTTTCTTTGTCTTTGGTTTTGGTGAGTTTGATGATGATATGTCTTGGTGATTTTCTTTTGGGATCTAACTTGTTTGGGGTTCGTTGGACTTCCTGAATGGATATATTCCCATCTTTCATCATATCAGGAAAGTTCTCTTCCAACAAATTTTGGGAAATTTTCTCAGTGGTTTTATTCTCTTCCTGTTCTGGAGTTCCAGTGACACGTAGGTTATTCCTTTTGATGGTATCCCACATGAACCTTAGGCTTTCTTCATTTTGTTTGGATCTTTATTCACATTGATCACTTTTGCAAAGAAATATTCAGGTATTTGTCTTCAATCTCATTAATTCTGTTTTCCATTGCATCAAGTCTACTCCTTTGCCCTTTCAATGTGTTATCTATTTCTGAAACTTTAGTATCAGTTCTCTGTATTTCTATCTGTAGATTTTCTAATTTTTCATTTATTTTGTCATTTTGTTCTTGTATTTTCTTCTGAAATTTTTCTACGGGTTTGTCTGTGTTTTCCTTAATTGTGTCAGTGTTTTCCTTGATCTGGCTCTCCATCCTTTGAAGATACCTAAATATAATTCTTTGGAATTGTTTGTTAGGGAGTTGCAGTGCCGCTTCTTCCTCAGGGATGTGTTCTTGGTCTTTATCCTGGTCCCTTGTTTCTACCACTTTATCCTGCTTCTTTGTGTGAACTGTGATGGTCTGTTGTCTCCAAGACATTGTGACATTGTTGTATTTAGATCTCTATTAACTGTTTGCGAAGAACAGCTAAGAGTGAGTCAGGCTCTTGGTGGTTTTTTATCGTCGGCCTGTTGGTGCAGAAGGAAGTGGTGGATCTCACTCAGTAAGTGAAGCTGCAGGAGGTGTGAGTGTAGTTTTGTCGTGTGGGGAATGTTGCTGTCTCCCACTCAGTTAGACAAAAATAGCAATTGAGTAAGCATCAAAAAAGTAAAAGCAAATGGACACACCATGTAATCACACATGAACAATAACCAAAAAAAAAGAAAGAAAAAATGAAAAATAACCCCGCAATATCCGGGGAGAGGGTAATCTGAGAAAAATGTAGAGCAGAAGAATAATGATGAAAAAAATGGGAAAAACGCAAAGAGGAAAACAAGGAATGGGGTTAACCACAATAAATAACAACAACAAAAATTTGGAACCAGCAACTGGAAAAAGAGAAAAAGCTGAAAACTAGAGTCTTTCCAGTCAATGGCACCTGGAATGTCCTTGCAGTTCCCAGCAGGTGGAGCTTGTTCTTTAGTCACTGGAATCTATGAGAGCGTTATTACTTTAAATATCCAAAATGGTCATACTGCTTGTAAACATTCAAAATGGCTGTATCCTCTGGACAGGCAAAAGTCCACAGCTCAGCCCACCTTCCTCTTTGCTGTTTCCCCTTTTATTCACCAGCCACCAGTGCAATCCTCCATGCAGACTCTGACTAGCAGGGCCAATTTTTAAGTCAATTTTAGGTCCTAACACCACTCGGCAATATCCAAGCTGTTTGTGCCATCAGGATTGCTGCCAGACTACAGCTCAATGTGTCTCCTTTTTTGGTGTTTTCATGCAAGTTCTTCTACTAGCTGGAATTTAGCCCACTGCTGTATCCTTCCCCTCAAAAGCTCGGGAGTCCAGGATTATGTTCTGTATCTATGTTAATTGATTTCCCTTTTCTTTGTTGAAGAGGGCATGTTCAGTCTTTCTGCCTGTTCCGCCATCTTACTAGAATTCCCCTTTAGCCATAAGTCTTTATAAACTCCATGGTGTAATTTGCTGTGAGCAACTGAGTAGCTCCTGATTGCTAAAGTTAGCCACCTTGGGTATTTCTGTTGGGAGCAGCACAAAGTAATTTTCTGGGAAGTTTGCTCTCTCTCAGGTGTTTAGAATTTTGATGTTGGGATTAGTTAGTTTGGCCACTCTGCCAGGCTCAAAGGAGCCCTCCTAGAGGCAAAAGGAGTCTCTCTGACTGCTGGCTGAGAAAGACATGCTGGTGAGTGAAACATGCTCCTGAGAGACATGAGAGACACACACTGCTGAGAGAGAGAAGTGAAGGACATGTACTACTGAGAGAGTGATGTGCTACTGAGACTGACAACTGCTGAGTGAGACAGCTGGCTGCAAGAGACTGAGTGCATTTCTGAACTTGAGTTGTAGCCTGTTGCTTCCCTAATAAGCCCCATAATCTGTGAGTTCTATGTGGCCACTGCAGCAAATTATCAAACACAGCAGAGTGGTGGCAGGTCCTGTGGGAGGAATGGTTGGTATCAGGGTTGGTGAAAGGGTTGGAGGGAGGTGGCAAGTCTGGCCTTGCAGGAATAGACCTTGGGCTACTGATGGTGATTCTGTCTTCCTCTTATGAGGTTAGAGGAGGTCAGATGATGTGGCCTCCCTGCCCCCTTTGCTGAAAGGAAGTATAAATAAAAAGAAATTTGAAAATATTCCAGCCTATTATCAGAAATAAAGTCCACCCTCAAGATGTAAACTTCAGTGATCTTAAAAAATGCATATAATTCATAACATACTACACAAAAACATTGCTCTACATCCTACTTTGGCAAGTACAGACTAGGATCTTAAAAGCTTGCAAGTGGCCATCTAGATGCAACAATGGGTCCTGCCTCGTCTAGAGTAAAGAAGAATGAAGAAAACCAAAGACACATGGAAACCTTAGTCCAAGAGACTTGTACACCGTGCGATCCTCAGCCTATATGACTATGATACTAGAAGAACTAGATTGTGCCCAGCTACCACTATCAACCACTGAGAGGGAGATCCTGGATATAGTAGGAGAATAGTGAGGAAGAAAACTCAAAGTCATGGGAAAAAAGGGACCAAGTTTGCTAGTCTTACAGAGCTTAGTGAAACCCCTGAGACTGTGGCCCCTAGCTGCCCTTCAGGTCTGGAGTTGAACTGTCTTCTGTGGCTTCCAACCAAACAAAAGATAGGCATATGAGCTGAACATTTACATTAGATGGATACACTCCTTGGAGAGATCAATTATAGGAGAAAAGAAGAGGTGTGTATATATGCACAAGGAGACACCTTAGGTGTCAGGAGTACATGCGAACAAAAGACACAGGGAAGAGGTAACTATGGGGAGAAAGTGAGAAGAGAGCTGTTGCATTGTGGGAAATTGCAGTCAATGTCATGAGGCTGGAGTGACTAAATGTATATGAACTGCTGTGAGGAAAATGAATTTGCTCTGTAAACTTTCACTCAAATCATAATAAAAACTAAAACAAAACAAAACAAAAAACCTGTAATTATTGTCATCTTTGCTGTCTGTTTCTCTGTTGGAAGATTTTGCTTTAATATATGGTACTTTTTCTCAGCCCTGATGCCACTTCCGATCTTTTCTAAGGTTTGGTTTGGAAATTCAGGTGGAGGTGCTACCCCAGATGGCAGCTGGCACATAGATGGATATAGAGGGACACAATGAACAAGAAAGGTGCTATTGCACATGATGTAGAAGTCATGACGTATTAATTCCATTTTCAATCTTTTTAGTTATCTTCCAAACAAGATGTTAGAGGAACAAAAACAGAGCATCTTACCATAGGAACTACTACCCCAGGACAAGGACAGACAAATCTTACAACAAAGCAAGATAATGTAACGATTAAAGGTCTTCAGGCTAATGTTAGCATACCAAAGGTAACAATTTTTTTTTGTTTTTAATTTTTGAATTTTCTTGAACAAGGAAAATATTTTGGTGGTTTTATCATCTCTCTTTGCTAAACTGATTGGTGGTGGAACAGTTTGTAATATTTAAATTTTTATTTTGTTTTCCCTGTATAATCTAATGTTAGGAACTAAATGACTTAAGGAGAACATTTGGTAATACTTAACAAAAGTTCTGTATCTATACAGTAAGAATCTTAATTCTTCATAATCTTAACGTCTTCATAACACTCAGATACATACATATATTTATAAAAGTAATTTTTTGTGTTCTTTTGTATCTTATATGTGTATCTTATATAGAAATGACAACTCTTCACATTTTCAACTTTGATACTGGTGTCATTTTATGCATTATTTCAACTGACGTCTGTGACATTTTGTGTATTAGGTAAATTTATGTTTGTTACAAGCCTCAGTAGAAGAATCTCCAACTACAGCTCCTAGTAGAAGTGTGACTCATGTTTCCCTAGTAGCACTGTGTTTCGATAGAATTGCTACACAAGTCCGTATGAACAGGTAAGAAAGAGTCATGATTATCTTGCTGGATGCAAGAGCAAGCTTTGAGCATTTTCTTAATACTTTTCTGAAAATTTTAATGTTTAAACTCACTATTGGCATTGCAATTTAAATCTTTATACATTAGCAAAGCATATTTTTAAAAATGTGTACTGTTTTTATTCATAACACTTTTATAAATTTAGCATTAAAAAATTAGTTATCAATATTGGTTTATTTAAAATAGCACTATTATTTTTACAGACGTAAACCCACTTATCAGTTAAGTGTTTTTACTGAATTATGTTATTTAAATGTCAACTATCATACACTTTTTCTTCTTTCCTAAAGAGGTGTGGTTGAAGAAACTTCAAACTATGCAGAACCTGGTAGAACATCAAATTTTGATAGGTATGTCCATGCCACCAAGATGCAGCCTCAGTCATCTGGCTCTCTCAGATCAAATGCTGGAGCAGAAAAAGGCAAAGAAATTGCAGCCAAGTTAAACATTCATCGAGTTCATGGGCAACTTAGGGGTCTTGATACAACAGGTAGGATTCTACAAAAAATATGTTTTTCTTTGACATGTAAATATTTAAGATTTTGCAAAAGGAAAAGTTATTTTTTCCTTTGAATGTTGTTACATTTTGAATATTTCATAGAAAAGAGAAAAGGATTTCTGTATATATTGAACACATAGTATCTACTTATTACTCACATGTTATACAAAATAGAAGGTAAATTTTGTTCATTAAGTAATGGCCCTATATTAGAGAATTTTATAGTGTGTTCATCTGTTTTTTTCATGAATAGCTGCTTACTTACAGAACAGAGAAAGCATGATCTTCATAGTCTTTCTTACTATTTTAAATTGCTATTTGTAAAACATTAAATGAACTAAGTATAATATTAATCAAAACCTGATAGCCTAGTCTCTAATACATAGAAGCAACGATAAAAGTGACAAACATGACCATTCTTAAAGTCCTCAGTGAGATAAAAGAAGAAACACTGAATCCCATTTCAGTGTTTTCAGCTATTCAGTGCTGTTCTCATTTACAGGTTTAAATGAACTCAGATTGTCAGAGATATAATTCGGAAAAAAATTGAGTTAGTCCTGTTTAAGATAACTGCTATTCTAGAATTTCTATATGGAGCAAATAACCAGAAGTCCCAGTGCTTGTCACATAACAAGTGCTTAGTTATTTTCTGAATGAATGAATGATTTCCTTGAATTTGATCATTGAATTTCGCAATTTGGGGGTTTAATTCCTGTTTGTATTCTGGGTCTGTGTAACTACTGTGACTTTTCTCAAGTTGTATTTCACGATCCTTGTGCTTGAAGCCAAAGAATTTGACCTGAGGATTTGAAATAGAGACTTTACGTGACTACCTCAAATCTATAGCTCTAACCAAACCAAACCAAACTCACTGCCATCAAGTTGATTCTGACTCATAGCAACCTCATTGGTCCCAAGGTTGTAAACCCTAATGAAAGCACACTCCCCCATCTTTCTCCTGCTGAGTAGCTGATGGGTTCAAAACACTGACCTTTTGGTTAGTAGCCAAATGCCTTAGCCACTGCACCACCAGAGCTCCTTCTGTAGCTCTAAAGTTGGTGCAAAATACAGTGGCTTGTGTATAAAAAGAATTTCCTCAACTATGAATTTTGCACCAGTGATCAGTTTTGCACTTGGATGTTGTACAGAGCATAAGCAAAACCTTAGATAATTTTGAAAGGTTTCATTCATTAAACATTCTCTTCATTTTTGTGAAAATGGGGGGGGAAAAAAGCAATATAAATGTCTTTGCTTATATGTACATAAGATATCTGTGAAAGGATAGCCAATAATCTAATGATATTTGTTGCCTATAGGAAGCAGTAGCTGGTTACATTGTTAGATAGTTTTCATTATATACCGTTTCATATTTTTTAGAACTTTGATTTGTGGGAGTGTATTACCTATTCAAGATATTTAAATACAATTCATGTTAAATCATTGCCTGTACCATACATCAGAATAAGTTCATGAGGTTAAAGACTTAAATATAAAAAAGATTAAATAATAGGAAAATGTGGGTAAATCTTTACTCTCTGAGTAGGGAAGGCTTTCTAATCATAAATGCAATGTATGGTATCTTTATATAATGGTATATTACATAGTAATTAAAATAAAATAGTATCTTTGAGAAATTTTTAATGATCTGAGGAAATTATCATGGTTACATTAAACTAAAACAAACTCACTCACTGCTGTCAAATCAATTCAACTCAAAGTGACCCCTTCTTGGGTTTCCGAGGCGGTATCTCTAAGGAAGTAGATTGCCCAGTCTTCCTTCCAAGGAGTGGCTAGTGGGTTTGAACTGCCAGCCTTCTGGTTAGCAGTCAAATGCCTTAGGCACTACGCCACCAGAGCTTCCAATGGTTACATTAAAAGTGGTTAAATGAGACATGAGAACCAAATCTGACTTTGCGTATGATCTTGAAAGAGCTAGAAAAAAATTTACTTAAAATGTAAATAGACGTTATCTCTGGGTGGTAAAATTACATGTGATGTTTATCTTCTTTTTGCTTTTCTGTATTCATTAGGTGCAAGTAGAAGAAATGAAAAAATGTTACATAAAATAAAAACCTCTCCCACATAATTAAGAAGTTGCTTTCCATATTGCATCTATAAGCAATAGAATCATGGCAGTGTCTGTGATGAATTCTGTATGTATGTTAGTATGCAACAGTTTTGTAGTAAAAGCTGTATTTTCCATTTAAAAAAAAAAAAAAAAAACTCACTGCCGTTGAGTCAGACCCAACTCATAGCTACTTCTCCTTGGGTTTCCAAGGCAGTACCACTATGGAAGTAGATTGCCCAATCTTCCTTCCAAGGAGTGGCTGGCAGGTTTGAACCGCCATCCTTCTGGTTAGCAGTCAAGTGGCTTATGCACTACGCCACCAGGGCTCATAGAAAATGATATTTTTTCCTAAAGTTTAGTAATTAATTAATTTTTTAGTTTATGAAATGATGAGAAAGTTTTTAAAACTAGTTTACTCTGAAGCTAAATATTCAGGAACTTCTTAACTTCAGATTTTAGAGTACTCTATAATCTCTCAGAAATGAATTCATACTACCATTGAGCAATTATTTGTTAATTATGGAGCTGTCTTTTTTCCCTCTTATCATGATCAAAAAACTTCAGGCACTTTTAAAATAGTAAGATAGTAGGCAGCGTTCTTTTAAAAGTTGGTTTGTTTATTTATTTTCTGTCTTTTTGACAGCATGTTGCTGTTATTATTATTGTTAGGTAACATCAAGTAGGTTTCAACTCATAATGACTCTATAAGGATCTGAAGTTTCTTAATTAACAAATAATTGCTCATGGTAATGTAAATTCCCACCACTTATCAGTGAGTTTGTCATACTCTGTTGGCTTGCATGTTGCTGTGAGGCTGGAGGCTATGCCACCACTATTTCAAATATCAGCATGGTCACTTATGGTGGACAGGTTTCAGCAGAGCTTCCAGACTAAGATAGACTGGGAAGAAGGACAGGGCTGTACACTTATGAAAGAATTGGCCAGTGAAAATCCTAGGGATAGCGGTGAAATATTTTCTGATCCAGTATCTGATGATGAGCTCCTCAGGTTGGAACACAAAATATGACTGGGAAGACCCCCCTTCTGAAACCAGAGTTGACTTTAATGATGTGAATGGAGTAAAGCTTTCAGGACCTTCATTTGCTGATGGGTATGACTCAAAATCAGAATTAACAGCTGCAAAAATTCATTAATAATTGGAACATGGAATGTACAAAGTATGGATCTAGGAAAATTGAAAGTTGTCAAAAATGAAATGGAATGCTTTAAGATCGATATCCTAGGCATTAGTGAGCTGAAATGGACTGGAATTGGCCATTTTGAATCAGATAATCATATGATTTACTATGCCAGGAATGAAAAATTGAAAAGGTATAGCATCACATTCATTGTCAAAAAAAGACATTTCAAGATCTATCCTGAAGTACAGTGCAGTCAGTGATAGGATAATATCCATATGCCTACAAGAAAGAAAAGTTAATACTATTATTCAAATTTACACACCAACCACTAAAGCCAAAGATAAAAAAAAATTGAAGATTTTTATCAATTGCTTCAGTCTGAAATTGACCAAATATGCAATCAAGGTGTATTGATAATTACTGGTAATTGGAATGCGAAAGTTGGAAACAAAGAAGAATCACTGGTCACTGGAAAATATGGCTTTGGTGATAGAAACGACACTGGAGATCACATGATAGAATTTTGCAAGATCAATGACTTATTCATTGCAGATATCTTTTTCAGCAACATAAATGGTGGCTATACACATGGACCTTGCCAGATGGAATACACAGGAGTCAAATTGACTACATCTGTGGAAAGAGGTGATGAAGAAGTTCAGTGTCATCAGTCAGAACAAGGCCAGGAGCTGAGTATAGAACAGACCATCAATTGCTCATACACAAGTTCCAGTTGAAGATGAAGACAGTTAAAACAAGGCCATGAGAGCTAAAATACGACCTTGAGTATATCATACTAGAATTTAGAGACCATCAAAAAATAAATTTGACACACTGACTCAGTGACCAAAGACCAGACATGCTGTGGGATGACATCAAGAACATCATACAAGAAGAAAGCAAATGGTAATTAAAAAAAAGGAAAGAAAGAAAAGACCAAAATGAATGTTAGAAGAGACTCTGAAACTTGTTCTTGAACATGGACTAGTTAAAGCAAATGGAAGAAATAATGAAATAAAAGAGCAGAACAGAAAATTCAAAAAGGCAGCTCAAGAAGACAAAATAAAGTATTATGATGAAATATGCAAAGACCTGGAGTTAGAAAATCAAAAGAACTGAAGAAAAAGTGAAAGCCTCCAATTGCTATATTGAATGATTCTATCAGCGTAGTGTTAAATGATACAGAAAGCATAAAAAGAAGATAGAAGGAATACATAAAATCGCTGTTCCAAAAATAATTGGTAGACTTTCAGCTATTTCAGGAAGCAGCATATAATCAAGGACCAGTGGTTCTGAAGGAAGAAATCGTAAGTTGCACTGAAGGAATTGGTGAAAAATAAAGTCCAGGAATTGAGGCAGTCCCCACTGAGATGTTTAAACAACTAGATGCATCACTGGAGACACTTAGTTATTTAGGCCAAGAAATCTGGAAGACAGCTCCCTGACCAGCCAACTGGAAAAGATTGATATTTGTTCCCCTTCCAAAAAAAGATCCAACAGAATGTGGAAATTATTGAGCAATATCATTAATATCATGCACATGTAAAATTTTGCTGAAGATAATTCAAAAATGGTTCCAATTGTATACTGACAAGGAATTTTCAAAAAATCAAGCTGGATTCAGAAGAGGACATGGTACAAGGGATAGCATTGCTGATGTCAGATGAATCTTGTCTGAAAACAAAGAATACCAAAAAGTTGTTTATCTGTGTTTTATTGACTCTGCAAAAGTATTTGACTATGTACATCATAACAAATTATGGATAACATTGGGAAGAATGGGAATTCTAGAACACTTACGTGTGCTCATGAACAACCTGTACATAGACCAAGAGGGCCTCATTCGGACAGAACAAGGGGATACTACATGGTTGAAAATCAGAAGGGTATGTGTCAGGATTGTATCCTTTCACCATACTTATTCAACCTTTATACTGAGCAAATAATCCAAGAGAATGGACTATATGAAGAAGAATGCAGGATCAGGATTGTAGAATGACTCATCAACAACCTGCAATATGCAGATGACACAGCCTTGCTTGCTGAAAGTGAGTATGACTTGAAGCACTTACTGATTGTTCTGGTTACCTAGTGCCACTCTGACAGGAATATACCACAAATGGGATGGCTTGAACAAACAGTTTATTCTCTTACAATTTGAGAGGCTAGAAGTCCGAGTTCAAAGTGCCAGGCTCTAGGGGCTGTGTGAAAGCCCTTCAACTGGGCTTCAGCTCTGCCTCCTGCTCCCGGCCCACTGGAACTGGAGGCTTTTCTTCACTCAGCTGCTGGCTGCTGAGACTGACAAGCCAAGGTTGACAAGTAAAAAGGCATGGTACTGATGTTAACAAACTGCATGGCGGGCCATTAATTCAAGTCCACTGAAAGTCCCAAGGTCGGCAGAGCACAGCAGGCTGCTGAACAGTGATGTGGCTACATGCTGGGTTCAAACGTGCCATAAACTAGAGTTCATTCCCAAAACTGTTTCTTATATATGGGAAGCAGACCACATCCCTAAAGCAACTACTCAGCTACTTGTAGTAGGTCCCACCATGGAGTTGATTGCCAGTCTAATCATGGGGAATAACTACCAACAGCTGCCCACCCACTCAACCAGGCCCAGCCAAGTTGAGACACAAACTTAACCACCACACTGATGTTGCTCAGACTACAGTCTGCAGTGCAGATTACACCTCAACATATGTTGTTGTTGATGTTGTTATGTGCCATCGAGTCAGACCCAACTCATAGTGTCCCCTCCTTGGGTTTCCAAGGCAGTATCACTACGGAAATAGATTGCCCAACCTTCCTTCCGAGGAGTGGCTGGTAGGTTTGAACCACCAGCCTTCTGGTTAGCAGTCAAGTGCCTTAGGCACTACACTACCAGAGCTCCTACCTCAACATAATAGAAAACAAAAATCCTCACAACTGGACCGATAAGCAACATCACAATAAATGGAGAAAAGATTGAAGACAGGGATTTCATTTTACTTGGATCCACAATCAAAACCCATGGAAGTAGCAGTTAAGCAATCAGATGTCATATTGCACTGGTCAAATCTGCTACAAAAGATTTTAAAGTGTTAAGGAGCAGAGATGTCACTTTGAAGACTAAGGTGCACCTAACCCAAGCCAAGGTGTTTTCAGTAACCTCATGTCCATGTGAAAGCTGGACAATGAATAAGGAACGCCAAAGAAAAGGTGATGCCTTTGAATTGTGATGTTGGCATAGAATACTGAAAATACCATCGACTGCCAGAAGAATGAACAAATCTGTCCTGGAAGAAGTGTAGCTGGAATGTTCCTTAGAAATGAGAATGGCCAGACTTCATCTCACTTAGTTTGGTCATGTTGTCAGTAGGGACTAGTTCCTAGAGAAAGTTATCATGCTTGATAATGTAGATGGTTAGCAAAAAGGGGGAAGACCCTCAATGAGATGGGTTGACACAGTGGCTGCAATGATGGACTTAAGCACAGCAATGATTGTGAGGATGGAGCAGGACCAGGCAGTGTTTTGTTCTGTGGTACATAAGGTTGGTTTGAGTCAGAGCTAACTTGATGGAACCTAACAACAAGAACAATAGTATGAGTTCATTTCTGAGAGATTATAGAATAAGATCTAAAGTTAAAAAGCCCCTGGATAATTTAGCTTCATAGTAAACTAGGGTTTTTTTTGTTTGTTTGAACAGAATACTAATAGTTATTTTTAACACAACCACAAAGAGTGGTAGTGGTGCAATGGTTAAGTACTTGTCTGCTAACCCATAGGTCTGCAGTTTGAATTCACCAGCAGCTCCATGGGAGAAAGACCTAGAGGTCTGCTCCTGTAAAAATCACAGCCTTAGAAAACCCTGTGGGGAAGTTCTGCTCTGTCACGTGGAGTCACTAGGAGTTGAAATTGACTCAACGTCATACAGTAGCCGAGACAATCACTTTGCTAAATTGTTTGAATTTTATATATGTATATCATTGCCTTCAAAATGGCCATTTTGCTCTCTTTTGGTAACAGACATTGGTACCTGCGCCATCACTGCTATTCCTTTTGAGAAGTCCAAAGTTTTGTTTACACTTGAAGAGCTGGATGAGTTTACCTTTGTAGATGAAACTGATCATCAGGCTGTTCCGGATGTAACTAGAATAGGTCCAAGCCAAGAAAAATGGGGTTGGATAATGTTTGAATGTGGACTTGAAAATCTAACCATAAAAGGTAATCATTTTTTTTAAAATTAAATTCTTTTAAGCGGGAGACTTATTGATACCCTCTGGTGTCGTAGTGCCTAAAACATTTGACTGCTAACCAGAAGGTTGGCAGTTCAAACTCACAAGCCACTCAGAAGGAAGATTGGATAATCTGCTTCGGTAGCAATACCACCTCGGAAACCCAAGGAGGGGTTGCTATGAGTCTAATTGACTCGATGACAGCGAGTTGTGAGTTTTTTTCTTTTCCTTTAATTGTTGAAATATTTTGAAAGGAGAAATGTTTCAGGTAATTCTCTTACTATGATTTTTAGTAACCTGAATCATCATATTTAAGCATAAGCAGTGCTTTCTGTCCATTGTGTGATTTAAAACTAGTTAAGGCATTCAGACAATAATTCCTGAAGCATACACAGAAATAAATTAGACATAGATAAGAGAGAGATGACCCAGAACCACCCAGCCTTTTGGAAGTGTATGTCTTCAGAAGCTGGATCTTTGATCAGTAGAGCTGTTCCATATTGGATGAAAACACCATAAATCCTTTATTCAGTGAAAAAGACCACTATTATACTTAAAATTATACTTGCTCTTCTTTTAAGTTGTTAAGTAACATTTTTAAATAAAAGGATAGAATTGTGTATAAGAATTTTAAGTTTAGTATATGTATAGTAGTAGTTGTATTTGCCTACAGTTCCATAACTGATAATGCATCTGTGCATCACTTTTATAAAGACAGTCTTGGTAAGAAAGAAAAAAAATATTTTTATGAGATTTTATGCAGATATTGTGAAACATTTACAGTTATTTTTAATAAAATAAATTTCTTCATTTTTATAGGAGGAAGACAGTCTGGTGCTGTTCTATATAATACTTTTGGAATTATGGGTAAAGCTAATGTCACAGAAAGGGGTGGAGTGCTGACATCCAATAATTCTTCTGATTCTCCAACTGGCAGTGGCTATAATACAGATGTCTCTGATGATAATCTTCCTTGTGACCGAACAAGTCCTTCCTCAGACTTAAATGGAAATTCTGTTTCAGATGAACAGGTTGGTGAATTTATAATAATAATGCTTTGAAAAAATTACTCAGAAAACTACATACCAAATTCAAAATGAATTTCCAGAGAACATTTGTTTAACTTTCCCTATTTTGTATTCATATTTGCTTAAATATTAGTCAAAGCATTTTGGAGAATATGTTACTACTAGAGTATTATTTCTGAAATGTAGGTACTATATCATAGGTACAGTTATATTGGGCAAAGCATATAATACCTTGCTTATATTAGACATTTTATAAATAGTCATTGAATTAATAAAACTTAAGGCAAGTATACTTTGTTTTTGTTTGAAGGATTTTAGCAGAATTCACTTTATAAATGATTAGTTCTCTTATTAATGGTATTTCATGTAAATTCTAAATATTTTTGTCAATGTGTGCTTATTAAGACTCCTGAAGAGTATCTTATATATATAATTATTTTTATTATGGTGGTATTTCATGGTGAATAGTACAGTAACAGCAAAGACAAAAACAATATTCAGAATTCCAGATTGCAGAAGGGTTGTGCCAATAACTAATTGGTGACCTTGGTCAAGTTACTATTTTGTTGTTGTTAGGTGCCGTCGAGCCATCTCCATCTCATAGCAACCCTATGTACAGCAGAACGAAACATGGTCTTGTGCCAACCTCACAATCCCTACTGAATCCGAGCCCATCTCTGCAGCCACTGTGTCAGTACATCTTGTTGAGGGCTTTCCCCTTTTTCGTTGACCCTCCACTAAGGGTCTTCTCCAGAGAATGGTCCCTTCTAACGGTATGACCAAAACAGGTGAGACGAAGTCTGGCCATTCTCACCTCCAAGGAGCGTTCCTGCTGCACTTCTTCCAGGACAGATTTGTTCTTTTAGCAGTCCATGACACTTGCAGCATTCTTCGCCAATACCGCAACTCAAAAGCATCAGCTTTTCTTTGGTCTTCCTTATTCATTGTCCAGCTCTCACATGCATGTGAGGCAATTGAAAATACCATGGCTTGGATCTGGCGCATCTTAGTCTTCAAGGAGACATCTTTGCTCTTCAGCTCTTGAAAGAGGTCTTTTGCCACAGATTTGCCCAATGCAGTATGTTTTTGATGTCTTGACTACAGCTTACAGTGGCATTGATTGTAGAACCAAACAATATGAAGTCTTTGACAACTTCAATGTTTTCTCCTAAATGTCTTCCCTGTAACAAGAGTATGATAATAATTGTTACCTCATAGTGTAGTTTAAATGTCTAAATACATTTAAAAGCTTTAATTCAGTTCTTACCACATAGTAAGAACTTTGTAAATGTTTTTAAACATATGTATGTGCATACACTTTTGATCATTTAAAAAATTACATTGAAGAGGAAAGAGAAAACATTTCCAAAGAAAGGTGTCATGTGTATCCAGTATTTATTGGCTTACTTGCCTCTAAGTCCTAGATTGCTGGGGATCTATTTTTTTAAACATTTATTTTAATTTGATGCATAATTTAAGAGTTTAACCAGTTTTCTGGTAAAGTCTTTGGAAGTGTGTTTTTTTTTTTTTTTTTGACAGGGGGTACAGTTAGCACTTTTAATTAAAGAAATTTTAAAAGATAATGGTTGCTCATTGGATTAAAAAAAGCTGGGAGAATGTAGCCCTTCTTTCTTTCTCTTTCACTAACTAAACTTGATAGAATCTCACGCATCTTCCTTGATCATCTTGGTCATAATCTCCTTGCTGAAAGTCCTCCTTGGATTCACAAACAGTTTTTTCTTTGGGTTCTGTGAGTTTTCTTGATCTATTTTCTTGTGCAGTCCTTTCTCTTTCTTAAATTCTGTTCATTACTTTTCTCATTTTTTGTTCACTTCCTGATTTGTTTCATTTTGATGACACAATTTGATGACACTTCTATTCCCCATAGGCCATAATTTTAATATCAGCCCTTTACCTGAACTTCAGCATTGTATTACCATTGGCTTTTTAGACATTATTATTTGAATGTTCCAGAAGCACCACAAATTCAGTCAGCCTAAAAGCAAATTTATTACTACTTTGCTTGAAACTGAACATGCTATTACAATTAGTTGCTTGTTATCTATTGTCCACATCACTTATTTAAATTTCAAGTTTCTCAACATTGTCAACTTAATCTTTATATTCCTAGTGCCTGTTCATAGCCCCTTGTCTGAAACCCATAAGATTAGATGTATTTGAAAATTCAGATTTTTTTTTTCTAAGAGCTCTGGTGGCGTAGTGCCTAAGGCACTTGACTGCTAACCAGAAGGCTGGCGGTTCAAACTCACCGGCCACTCTACGGAAGGAAGATGGGGCAATCTACTTCCATAGTGATACTGCCTCGGAAACCCAAGGAGGGGTCACTATGAGTCAGGTCCGACTCAATGGCACATAACAACAACAAGAAGAAAAGTAATATGGTATTTATATTGCATGTTACATAAAGTCCTAGTGAGATCTAAGATAGCACTCCATCTTGAAACATTTAAATATTTCTGCCACACAACATGAGTGAACATGTGAGGTAAATAACCTCTCATCTGCTTAGATCAGATTTTAATGATTGTTGTTGTTGTTGTTATGTGCCGTCGAGTCATACCTGACTCATAGCGACCCCTCCTTGGGTTTCCGAGGCAGTATCACTACGGAAGTAGGATTGCCCAAACTTCCTTCCGAGGAGGGGCTGGTGGGTTTGAACCGCCAGCCGTCTGGTTAGAAGGCAAGTGTCTTAGCCACTATGCTACCAGAGCTCCTAGATTTTAATGATATACTTACAAAAAAATTTCAGAAATTTTTGAGTTTTGGGATTACAAGTAAGGGACTGTGTACTTATATTTAGTGATGTATGACTTTAAATTATAGATTCTACCGTTTACATTGTCTTGTGACATTTAGAATTCACAGATATCTTATAGTTAATTGTCATTCTATAACCATCCTGCAAAAATTATCAATCTTTTATTTATCTTAACAGTATCTCAAAGTGAATTTAAAAAAAAAAAAAAAACAACTCACTGCTGTTGAGTCAGATCCAACTCATAGCAACCCCTCCTTTTCTTTCCAAGGCAGTATCACTCACTACAGAAGTAGATTACACAATCTTCCTTCTGAGGGTTTGAACCTTCAGCCTTCTGGTTAGCAGTCAAATGCCTTAGCCACTATGCCACCAGAGTTCCCCAAAGTGAATTAGAGGCCTGTAAATAGGCAGCAGATGGCTTTTTGCAGGGCTGGAACTGATAGGAACGTCTGGGAGATGGTGGCAGACAGCTTTTTGCAGAGCTAGAATTGGTAGGGACGGCCGGGAGGTGGTGGCAGATGGCTTTTGAAGGACTGGAACTGGTAGAGATGGCTGGGAGGCAGCACCAGATGGATTTTGGCAGGGCCAGAATTGGTAGGGATGGCCAGGAGGTAGTGACAGATGGCTTTTTAAATGGCCAGAACTGGTAGGGAAGGCCAGGAAGTGGGAGTGGAGCAGTTTGGAACAGCTAAGGGAGATGAACTCATCTGTCAGTTTGTCATTCTGTGGTGGTTTGTGTGTTGATGTGAGGCTGCAGGCTGTGCAACCAGTGTTTCAATGCCAGCATGATTAGCCGTGGTGGACAGGTTTCAGCGGAGCTTTCAGCAGAAGACGGACTCAGAAGAAGGAAGATTCATCTACTTCTCAAGGAATTGACCAGTGAAAACCTTATGAATAGCGGTGAAACACTGTCTGATTTATTATTGAAAAATAGCCCTGAAAAATTGTCTCATGCGGTGCCAGAGGATGAGCCCTTTAGGTCAGAAAGCACTCAAAACATGACTAAGAAAGAGCTGCCTCCTCAGAATAGAGCTGACCTTGATGTTGTGGATGGAGTAGAGCTTTCAGGACCTCCTTTTGCTGATGTGGCACAACTCAAGAAGAAACAGCTGCACATATGCCTTAATAATTAGAACATGGAATGTACAAAGTATGAATCTAGGAAAATTGAAAGTTGTAAAAAATGAAATGGAAGGCATAAAGATCGATATTCTAGGCATTAGTGAGCTGAAATGAACAGGTTTTAGCCATTTTGAATCAGACAACCCTATGATCTACTATGCCAGGAATGACAAATTGAAGAGCTATGGCATGGCATTCATCATCACAGAGAATGTTTCAAGATCTATCCTGAAGTACAATGCTGTGAGTGACAGGATAATATCCATATGCCTACGAGGAAGACCAATTAATATTACTATTATTCAAATTTATGCACCAAACAACCACCAAAGCCAAAGATGAGGAAATTGAAGATTTTTACCAACTTCTGCAGTCTGAAATTGACTGAATATGCAATCAAGATGTGTTAATTATCACTGTTGATTGGAATGCAAAAGTTGGAAACAAAGAAGAATCACTGGTAATTGGAAAATATGGTCTTGGTGATAGAAATGATGCTGGAGATCTCATGATAGAATTTTACAAGACCATCAACTTATTCAGTGCAAATATTTTTTGTTCAACAACACAAACAGTGGCTATACACATGGACTTCACCAGATGGAGTACACAGGACTCAGATTGACTACATCTGTGACAAGACGCAGTGGAGAAGCTCAGTATCTTCAGCCAAAACCATGCTAGGAGCTGATTGTTGAACAGACTGTCAACTGCTCATATGCAAATTCAAGTTGACACTGAAGACAATTAAAACAACTCTACGAGAGCTAAAATATGACCTTGATTATATCCCTCCTGAATTTACCATCTAAAGAACAGATTTGACGCATTGAACACCAGTGACCAAAAACGAGAAAAATTGTGGGATGACATCAAGAACACCATCCATGAAGAAAGCAAAAGGTAATTAAAAAGACAGGAAAAGAAGAAAAGGCCAAAGTGGATGTCAGAGGAGACTCTGAAACTTGCCCTAGAATGGAGAGTAGCTAAAGCAAATGGGAGAACCGACAGGATAAAAGAGCTGAACAGAAGATTTCAAAGAACAGTTCAAGCAGACAAAGTCAGTTATTATAATGAAATATGCCAAGAGTGGAGTTAGAAAACCAAAAGGGAAGAACACGCTCAGCATTTCTCAAGCTGAAAGAACTGAGGAAAAAATTAAGCCTCAAATTGCAATATTGAAAGATTCCATCCATGGGCAATATGTTGAATGATTCAGAAAACATCAAAAGAAGATGGATGGAATACACAGAGTCACTATACCAAAAAGAATTGGTAGATGATCATCCATTTCAGGAGGTGGCATATGATCAAGAATCAATGGTATTGAAGGAAGAAGTCAAAGCTGCACTGAAGTAATTGGCAAAAATAAAGCTCTGAGAATTCACGGAATACCCCTTGAGATGTTTCAACAAACTGATGCACCACTGGAGGCACCCACTCAGCTATGCCAAGAAATTTGGAAGACAGCTACCTGGCCAAAAGGCTGGAAGAGATCCATATTTGTGCCCATTCCAAAGAAAGGTGATCCCACAGAATATGGCAGTTATCAAACAGTATCATTGATATCACATGCAAGTAAAATCTTACTGAAGATGATTCAAAAATGGTTGCAGCAGTATATTGACAGAGAACTTCCAGACATGCAAGCTGGATTCAGAAGGGGACATGGAGTGAGGGATATCACAGCTGATGTCAGATGGATCTTGGCTCAAAGCAAAGAATACCAGAAAGATGTTTGCTTCTGTTTTATTGACTATACAAAGGCATTAGATTGTGTGAAAATAACAAATTATGGATAACTTTGAGAAGAATGGGAATTCCAGAACACTTAATTGTACTCATGAGGAACCTGTACATAGACCAGGAGGCTGTCATTCAAACAGAAGAAGGGGATATGATTTAAAATCAGGAAGGGAGTGTGTCAGGGTTGTATCCTTTCACCATATTTTTCAATCTGTATGCTGAGCAAATAATCTGAGAAGCTGGACTATATGAAGAAGAACATGGCATCAGGATTGGGGGAAGGGTTATTAATAACCGGTGATATGCAGATGACACAACTTTTCTTCCTGAAAGTGAGGATAATTTAGAGCACTTACTGATGAAAATTAAAGACTACAGTCTACAGTATGGATTACACGTCAACATAAAGAAAGCAAAAATCCTCAGAACTGGACCAATAAGCAGTATCATGATAGATGGAGAAGAGATTGAAGTTGTCAAAGACTTCCTATTACATGGTTCTACAGTCAACACCATTGGAAGCATCAGTCAAGACATGAAAAGATGTATTGCATTGGGCAAAACTGCCTAAAAAGACCTCTTTCAAGTGCTGAAGAGCAAAGATACCTCCTTGAAGACTAAGATGCTTAACCCAAGCCATGGTATTTTCAGTTGCCTCATATGCATGTGAGAGCTGGACAATGAATAAGGAAGACCAAAGAAGAGTTGATGCTTTTGAGTTATGTTGGTGAAGAATGCTGCAAAACGGACTAACAGATCTGTCCTGGAAGAAGTACAGCCAGAATGCTCTTTGGAAGCAAGAATGGCCAGGCCTCATCCACCTGTTTTGGTCATGTTGTCAGAAGGGATCATTCTCTGTGAAAGGATATCATACTTGGTAGGGTGGAGGATCAACGAAGAAGGGGAAGGCCCTCAATGAGATGGATAGATATGGTGGCTGCAGCAATGGGCTCATGTATAGTAGGATTTGTGAGACTGGAACAGGACCGGGCAGTGTTTCGTTCTTTTGTTAGAGTCACTATGAGTCAGAGATGACTCGATGGCACATAACAACAACAAAGTAGGTATAATAGGCAGAAGACATTTGATTAATATTTTGTTTCTGACCTTCCTGCATTCTGAAAACTGGTGACTGCACATTTGAAAAATATTATCCTTTCTCACTACAGATTTTGATCAATAACTTATAACTAAGATTTTTTTTATTATTATTGAGCATTCTTCACTTGAAAATGCATCATAGAAATAATTTTTATGATGCTTTATTTGGAAATATTCTGTTAAATGGAATAGAAAATAGATTGCAGTAGAAGATAAAAATCTTAATTCTATCACCCCTTCTCCTATTTTATATAGCCTCTGACAAGTCATAAAACTTCTTTCTTTCACTTAATCTAGAATAAAATAATATTTAACATCCATAAATAAATTTTGTTCAATTAAGCAATCAGTTGAAACCCCTTTAGTTATAAGATTTCTGATTTATAGTGGAGCAGTTTTTCAGACTATGCCATTTGAAGCTTTAAAGATCCACAGATATTTCTTACAATCAGGAGAGATTTTGCCTGAGCAAGGTTCACATTATCTATCTTCTGTAAAGGTATTTGTTATCTGTAGAACTTCATTTCATGGAAAGGTTTTTTTCTGCTTAAAATGCCGTGTTAGTGGTTTTAAGGTTGATTTTATGTGTTGATTGTTAATAAGTTTTTGCATTCTATTTTATATAGGATGAGGGAGTCGAATCTGATGACTTGAAAAAAGATCTACCTCTGATGCCTCCACCTCCAGATTCATGCAGCATGAAGTTGACCATCAAAGAAATTTGGTTTAGTTTTGCAGCTCCCACCAATGTGAGATCTCCTGCACATGCATTTTCTAGGTAAGAAGTTTTTACAAATATAATACTGTCTCTTTATGTTTTTCCTTTATTTTGTATAGCCTACAGTTCTGTTTTACATCATTTTTAAAATTATTTTACTAACATATCTATTATTAGTGTAAAGATACCTGGTGACTCTGTGGCTAAATGCTTGGCTACTAATCAAAAGGTCTGTGGTTTAAACCTACCAGCAGCTGTGCAAGAAAAAAAAAAGACCTGGAGATCTGCTCCCATGATGATTACAGTCTAAGAAACCCTATGGGGCAAGTCTACCCTATCATGTAGGGAGGGTTGCTATGAGTCAGGATTGACTCAAATGCACAAACAATAATAAAAGTATTAGGTTTGCCACCTTTTTTTTTTTTTATCCATGTTCCTGCTTCATACTTTATAAACATTATTCTCAGTTTGCTTTCCCTTTTTTATTCATAGTGCAAATTTTATTTTTATATCAACCTACCTTGTACTTTTCACTTGTTATGGCTTTTATATATTTCTTTCTTCTCTTTTGTCTATCTTTCATTTCTTAATTATATTTTCATAATTTATCAGGTGATCAAAGGAAAAGAGAGTTATTTTTCCCAAATGAAATAGCCACCAAGTTCAAGTTCAAATCTTAAAATTTATTTCACATTTTTTTTTCTAATTTTACTTTAAAAGGCAGCTGAACCTTTTAAGCACTGCAACCCCTGCTGTTGGTGCATGGCTTGTTCCTATTGATCAACTCAAGTCATCCTTAAACAAGTTAGAAACTGAGGGAACTTTGAGAATATGTGCTGTTATGGGATGCATAATGACAGAAGCATTAGAGGTATGCCTTTCAACAATATAAGATATTATGCAGTTTATTTTTGAAATTGATTACTTATTATTACTGATTGTTGGAAAATACCAGACTGTAACTTTTTAATTTTGGAGATATTTGATTTGTAGGATTTTGATACATATATCATTCTAAATTTATTATTTTTGCTTTGTTTTAGAATAAAAGTGTACATTTTCCCCTAAGAAGTAAATACAACAGACTTACAAAACTTGCCCGCTTTCTCCAAGAAAATCCTTCATGTTTACTATGCAATATACTTCATCACTACCTGCACCAGGCAAATTACTCCATCATTGATGATGCTACAATGGTGAGTTACTGAAACCTTATTTAGCTTTTTTAAATAAAGCTCACTCCTCAGGAGTGAGCCCCGATACAGTGGCTCAGGCACTTGGCTGTTAAAAAAAGGTCAGCAGTTCAAACCCACCTACTGCAACATGGGAGAAAGATGAGACAGTCTGCTTCTATAAAGCTTTGTAGCCTTGGAAACCCTGTGGGATAGTTCCACTCTGTCCTATAGAGTTGCTGTGAGTCAGAATCAACTCAATGGCAGTGGGTTTGGTTTCGGGTTTTCTGTTCAGGACCCACTGACCCATAGGGAAAATAAAACATTAAGGACCACATGGAGTAAAATTGAGAGTCGTGGACAAGTATTGAAATAAATTTTGGAGACATAAAATCACATTCTTCTCTGATTTTTAAATGTTGCCAGTTTGAGAAAGAAATGACCTCAGCTATGTTAAAACATCATTCAAGGAAAAGACAGTACATTAACAGTGGTTATCTTCATGTCCAATTACAGGAAAATTTTTTTATTCTATCCTTATACTCTTGTGCATTTTCTAAAATTTATCCAGTAAACATACACTATTAGAATAAAGCCTACTTTTTAATGAAAAAGATACTTTGTTTCATTTTCTAAAGAATCTTTTTGTGTAAATCGCAGTTCCCTATTCTTTAAACTAAGAGTTGAAACGATCACAAAAGCAAAAAGTTAAGTGCAAAGTTGTGAAAAATCAGAATTTACAAATTTGTTTTTGCCACTTTGTGTAGTACTTAGGTCATTTGACTGCTAACCAGAAGGCTGGTGGTTCAAACCCACCAGCCACTCCTCAGAGGGAAGGTTGGGCAATCTACTTCCATAGTGATACCGCCTTGGAAACCCAAGAAGGGGTCGCTGTGAGTTGGATCCAGCTCGATAGCAGTGCATTGCGTTATAATGGTATTTACATTAATTACCATTTATATCTAATTTCCAATCTTCAAATGCTTCAATTAGTAAATTATCTCCCTTATTTTTACATATGGGAACTGAGAATAATTAGTTAGAAAAATTTTTTTTTAATGAATTGTATGGAAGGGACAGGTCCTAACTTGTATGGTACAAAAGTGAATTAAGTGAACTTTGATCATATATTTACAGTAGTAAGGCAAATTAAGTCTTGCTTTTGATTAAATTAAAGACCTACAGCACAATACCTTAGCAATGATAGATTAAGGACCATCATCTGTTATGTAATCTGTATTTTCCATCTTTTTGGTAATCTCAAGTTGTACTTTAATAAAAGTAAAGAAAAAAATCTGATAAAACAGACTAATTTTTGGTCATTTATTTCTGAGTCAAGAGGCAAAGCGTTAGTTCATAGTTGATGTCACAGAAATATATCTTTACCTTTAAAGTAATGTGTTCTTTATTGTCCATTTAGCAGTGATACATTAAAGAAATCAAAGTCATTGAATTTAATCTCATTAAAACCGTTTAGTTTAAATATGTGGCTACCAAGGGCATCAGAAACTAAGACCAGCCAGTTTGCAAATGCATACTACCACTCAGTCATCTCATAAATTTTATTAAGCACTTGTTTAGTGGTACATACTTTTTGCTAGACATTTAGGCATCTCATAGACTCAACAGGCTAGTCAATCATGATAATTGTGTTGTTGTTGTTGTTTGCTGTCGAGTCGGCCCATGATAAATGTAAGCCTACTAAATTTTTTTAAAATTTAATGTAGAAGAAAAGCATATATGATTCACTCAGAATAACTTAGGGAAAATATAATATAGGATCTGAGATAAGCCTTAAAAAGTGGGTTAATGTTAGTAGGTAAATGTTGAGAAGAAATGATGAAAGGGGATGTTCAAGTGCATGATAGGTAAAGGAAATAATAACCATATAAAGGCATAGAGGTGTGATAGAGAATGCTACATTTGGAGAACTGTGTCTGGTTTATAATTAGTGAAGATTAAGGTTTGATGTGGATGAATGATGGGAGATAATGTTCAAAAGAGGCAAAATTCATAGATCATATAAGAATAGAAAATGATACCTTAAATTATAATTGTTAAAGTATTATTTTCAATTTTTAAATTAAAAAAAAAAAGAAAAAGCAGGAATTAATCTAGTTTACTACAAATACAAAGTTCCATCTTTTGGCATTTCAGAGCTAAGATTGAATTTTAACCTGTGAATAATGGGAAGCCATGACTGTTTTAAACAGAAGAGTAGCATGATTGCTTTTGCATTGTAGAAAACTTCCACTAGTGACATTCTAGAGTCTGGAATGGTGAGGAGGAGGAACTGTTATTGTGTGCCATCTAGTCAATTCTGACTGGTGACTCTAAACTCCAAAAACAAAACTCACTGTAGTCAAGTCGAATTTGTCTCATAGCAACCCCTCCTTGGGTTTCTGAGGCAGTATCATTAGGGAAGTAGATTGTCCAACCTTCCTTCCGAGGAGTGACTGGTGGGTTTGAACTGCCAGACTTCTGGTTAGCAGTTAAATCCCTAGGACAAAGTAAAACTGCTCCATGCTTACTGAAAGGTTGGTGGTTCATGGGAGAAAGATGTGGCAGTCTGCTCTGTAAAAATTGTAACTCTGTGGGGCAGGCAGTTCTACTCTGTTCTGCAGGATCAATATTAGTCAGAATGGATTCAGTGGCAATGGGTTAATCTTTATGGGAACAGATTTCCAAGTCTTTCATCTCATAGAGTGGCTGATGGGTTCACACTGCCAACCTTTTGGTTAGCATCTAAGCACTTAACCATTGCATGATCAGGGCTGATGCAGGGAAATCATTGTGCTAGTCTTGGCTATAAAAGGAGATGGTGATTATTTAGCTAGGGGCAATGGAAGGATTCTAGGCTTGTTTACCAGGTTTTTGGCTTGTGTTAGTAGAAGAATGGGTAACAGTGTTATTAATAAGTAAAGTAAATGTCAGAGGAGCCAGGTGAAGGGTACAAAATAACTTCATTTGAGTTTTTGTTTATTTGAGATGTGTATGGGAAGTCCAAAAGGAGAAATCTGGTTAGAAATACAGATCAATAGATAATTATAGGTTCAAATTAAAAATGTGGGAGTTGCTAACATAAAAGTGTTAGCAGGAACTGTTGACATAAATGAGATTTCTAGGGAAAGTTTGTGGAGTAAGAAGCTGGTGAAGAATATATCTATGAAGAATACTAAAATTAAAGGGAGTGGAAAGAGAGGATAAAGGTACACAGAGTGCTAAGGAGGAAAAGGAAGAGGAGAATCAAGAAAAAGTGCTCTCTTGGAAGTCAAAAGTATAAAAAGTTTCAGAATTCAAAATGGAGTCTTGTCAGTGATCAACATGCTGTTTCCCCCTAGCATCTCAGTGCTTGAAAAACTAGGTACAGCAGTTTGAATTGGGGATTCTGGTGCTCTGAACACCTCACTGAGTCAGAGTGTACCAAACTCAGAAGAGGAGAATTAGAAAGGAGAAAGGCTCGGGGGGGATAAAATAACAAGATCAGTAGATCTATCCTGTGGGGCACCAACAGGCAGATGAAAAAGGCCATCTGAGACTTCCCTGGGGGAGTGCTGACCAGCAGGCGAAAAAGGCCATCCGAGACCTCCCTGGGTTAAGGAAGAAGACACACCACACCAGCATACAAGTGACCACACCAGCAAACCAGCAATCACACCAAGGATCTACCTTCAGCACTTGATTTTATTGGTAACTTGGATTGGCTAGGTGCAAACAAGCACATCCAGTGCCGCTGAAACCCGAGCAGAGAGTCCATTGGTGCTGCACAAGGGCCGGCCTGGGGAGTTGCCCCGGAAACGGGTCACTGATCAGGCATGGGTCAGTTTAGTGACACTGAGAGGCCTGTGCTTAACTTTATTGGTGATATTGGGACCACAGATTAATAGCAGGCATTCTCCTGACTCCAGTGCCACTGAAACGAAGTGTATCTTTGGCGCCGCAGGTGGAAAGACCCACAGAGGAGCTCCCATGGTGGATCGCAGTCTGGGTTGGTTGAGCCAGTGCCTCAGGCAGGCAGGACCAGAGAAAGGAATCCCTGTGGCGGATCATGGAGCCGGGCAATTGCCTTGGGTCAGCTTTTTGGTGCCAAGGGGCCTCGGGAGTGGGTTTCTGTGTGTGCTGAGCATGGCGGAAGGCGACCCCCTAACAACTGGAGTCTTTCCTGAAATTGAGCTGCGGGCCTGTGAATAACAGTACAACGTCATCATTAGCAGCCCGCTCAAAGCCCTAGAAACTGCCTCTACCAACAAGGAACTTCCCTTCTCCCGATCTTCCACTCCCACCTTCTCTGCCAGTAACTTCACTCATCCAAAAGAAGAAACCACATTCAGCCACCATAATACCTCCTGGTTCAAACTCTAAACCCTCTTTACAACAAACAGAAACCCTTATGCACATTCCACACAGTGATTCTACCATCACGAAGAAAACTGCAGAGCAATCCAGCATATCTGAATTAATAACTAAAAAAATAAAATACACCACCTTCAGCTTTTCAAAATATTAAACCATAAAACCAAGACAAAACAAATCAATATGTAGATAACAGTTAAAGACAACCTCAAAAGGTCTAGGAAACAACAGGCAACCTCAAATCAAACAAAAAAACAGGACAAGGCATTAGAAGCAAAACCACAAACAAAGATTTCATTAAACATGGAGGAAGAGGAGGCAATAGAATTATCTGAGAAGGAATTTAGAAGATATGTTTATAGAACTTTACGAGAGCCTAAGGAAACCCCAAACAGAAGCAGGAAGAACACAGTTCCCTGGAAGAACTCGGGAAAATCATTCAAGAACAAAATAACAAGATTAATGCACAGTCAGAACATATACAAAAACAGCAGTCAGAAATCCAGAAGACAAATACCAAAATTACAGAATTACACACCCAGTAGAAGCACAAAAGAGTAGGTTAGAATTGGCTGAAGAATGCATATCTCAAGTAGAAAACAAATCCCTGGACACCAGCGAAGAAAAATCAGAACAAAGATTTAAGAGAAATGAAGAGAACCTAAGAATTA